CAACAATACTACAGCGTGAATAAAAGTTATGCCTTCTTTCTTTGTGTGAACATTTGGGCGGCGTTATGCAAATCTTCCCACACAGTGACGTAGACATGTTGGGGCGTGTTAAAACTAGCCGTAGGCGTGGTTGACTCGTAACTTTTATAAAGAATATCTCTTTGGATTTGAGACTTTAGTCTTTGCAACTTTACAGATCTTCTTTATGCACCAAGAGCTTGTAACACTTCAAAGAGAAAGGAAAAATTGAAATCGCATCATATGACCCCTTTAAAGGCTGCTGTCGGTTAATGAAGATTTGACGGATGAACTCACGGCTCGACTGGACTCTTGTCGTGTCAGAAAGTGATAAGACTTTCAGTTTTATGGACGTCGCCATCTTTGATTTTACTTTGGTCACTGTCGCTATGGTTACTGGTAAGGAATACGGGCTTGACTCCCGTTGCACGTTCATACAGACAGTATTCTAAACACAACTGTAAGCTGCTGTGTGAACGAGACATTTCAAGACTCACACCTGTAAAGAAAATTGTCAATCCCAAAAATTGACAGTGTGAACGTAGCCCATGTCTGTTCAAATGATGTTCAGCCAGTCAAATTTCATAGTTCATGTATATTGTTGATATAGGATCTTTATAGACCTGATTTTGGTCTTTGTAAATCTTACAGTTTTCAAGAAATGTATGATTAAAGATGTTGATAGAATGTTAAGCCTTCAAAATGTAATCAAAGTAATGTCATAATATTTGCATGCTGAATTGCAATTGGATCTTTCTTGTACCTATTTACATACTGAATTATGATTGGTCAATTATTCTTTGCATGCAACAGAATGAATACCAAGACATGTCGTGTTTTTTCTGTTTCACTGACGCAGAAACAAAACCTAAAACTTCTTGTGCTGCCTTGCAGTAACTGGTATTTTCTTGAGGAAACGTGAAGCTAGTTGTATCTACTGGTTTTTCTTTTATTTTAAATCCCTTTTAGTCCAGAAAATCTTTACTATTCAATCATTTAAGTGCAGTGTAGATAAACAACTTTGGAACAGAGGTTCCAGACAGTCGGAAGCAGACATTCTCTTAAAATTTAACAACTAAACATTGAACTGTTTCCCAGTGTCACTGGAGACAAATTAGCAGTAAATGCTTGTTTATTTAGCCTCAAATCAATGAATGCTAATGGATCCCTAGATGTGTTATAAAACTGTTCATCATGTGTTTTCACTTGTGCTTTGCCGTGAAAGACTCATCTGTTACGTACCATCTCTCATTTGATAAATTCTTTTTTTACAGGAGCCTCTTGAAATCTGTTGAAGAAGAGCTGCACCAGAGGTATGATGCCGTTGCTTTGTGTCCTTCACTCCTGTGCTCTTTCATAGCTTTTTTTTCCTTTGGCTTCCTCTCTCTCTATCTTTCCATCTTTTTGCTGCTCTGTCAAACTCTACTCGCACATCTCTCTCTCTCTCTCTCCCTCTCTCTCTCTCTCACTCTCTCTCTGCATAGCTGGTTTTTCATCTGATCAATATTTGATGTGACCTAACCTTGCCCTTTTGTGCTTGTCCAAGTGGAACCAAAGGCTGATTTGCTTGGCAGTGCTGTGTTGGAGATCTGTGTTATTTTTGCCACAGTATTAATTTTCCATTCCTCAGGGGGAAATTAACCAGTTAGTCCCTCTAAATGAAATTTCCTCCAGATGCATGTCTAGATTGGTCTTTGGGATTGTTCTGTTATTAATTCACACATTCACACTTTGTTTTAAGTGGCCACCTTTAAAGGGAATGTCACTGAATCATCCTAAATCGCTGGATTATATATTATGTTACAGTGCCTAAATGTTCACTTTGAAATCACAATTTCTTTTGATGTATATGGGCTCATTCATACAGGACATGTTCTTGTGTTTATAAACAACTAGCATATTGAAACGGAACATCTTGAGACAAAAAAAAAAAAGTAACTTTCTTTGCATGGTGTCACTTACATGATGCTCATAGCATGAGATGCTGATAAAACAGTGAGACAAAGGTCACCCAAAGAGTCTAGTTAGTGCATATTTACATAGAATAACAGTGAAAAACTACTCAGAATGCCCTGTGTGAACGACCCGTTAACCTTTTATCTTACCTTTGGGAAGTCGAGCAAAGTGTTGCTTCAAATTGATAATCTTCAGTGAATGAGCGCCGCAACCTTCTCAATCCTCATTAGGGGGCATGAGGCTCATTTGGAGGATGATGATGAGGGTGAAGATGATGGTGATGATCATCATGATGATGAATTGCAACAGTAAGTTCCTCTGATTCTATAGCCAATCTCTTCCTGCTGCTCTAGAGGTTAAAACACTTAAAGATCACGATGCACTGGCAACGTTTTGTCATGAATTCAAGTGCCTGTGAGACATTTTTATATTTTTTTCATCGTCCTTTGTGACACATATGAATATTTTTCCATTTTGACTTCTCTTTTGATTCAAATACTGTTTTCAATGTCCTCTGAAAATGTTGCCAGTATATCGTGGCCTTTTAGTTCCATGGGAATCATTCTTTCATCTGTTTTCTTTTTGCTAGACACACCATCTCTTTTCTTCTTTATTTAGCAATGCAATGTCTAGCAGGCGTTTTAGAATATTGCGGTTCTTCCAAGTGCCACTTTAGCCATTTTTCCGGGTTCAAATGCAAGTTCAAATCCATGAATCTTAGCCCTCTTTTAGTGATGCTGACAAGCTTTCTTCTACATTTAAAGGAATAGATCACTCAAAAATAAAAATGTTGTCATTATTTTTTCATCCTCCTGCTTCATAACAGCATACAGGTTTGAAATAACACGAGGCTGAATAAATAATAAAAGCATTTTCATTATAGGGTGAATTATTCCTGGTGCATTTGATTGCATGTTTGTTTGTTGTCTGTTTCCTGTCCTATATTGTACCCCTGTTGGTCCAGTGTCAGATGAAACCAATCCCAGAGGTCTATTAACATCCTGTTAATACTCTCAAATTATGTTTGTTAGTTGTAGCATGATTAGCATTGTGACTCATCTAATTGAATTTCTGATTGGTTTCAGCACTAAAAGCTCCACTATGAGGCCCACGTTCCCCCCACCACTTCCTCCCAAGGTAAGTATAAAAAAAAAAGTTTTATGGTATAAAAATGTTTTTTAATAAACCGTTTTAGTGTTAAAAAAGTTACACTACCTTTCAAAGATTTGGAGTCAGTAAGATTTTTTATTACTTTTATTCAGCATGGATGCATTAAATTGATTAAAAGTGACAGTAAAGACTTTTACTGGAAATTGTTCATTTAAAATAAGCTTTTGAACTTTATTCATCAAAGAATCCTGAAAAAACATCGGAGTTTCCAGAAAAATATTAAGAACAAATGTTTTCAACTGATAACAATAAATATTTCTTGCGTAGCAAATCAGCATATTAGAAGGATTTCATGTGACACTGACTACTGAAAATTCAGCTTTGCATCACAGGAATAAATTACATTTTAAACTATATTCAAATAGAAAACAATTATTTTAAATTGTGATAATATTTCACAGTATTACTGTTTTTACTGTATTTTTAATCAAATAAATTCAGCTTTGGTGAGCATAACAGACTTCTTTCAACAACATAAAAAAATCTTGCCATCCCTAAACTTTGAATGGTAGTGTCTTTAGGTGGTGTTTTGATGTTTTGAACAACCAAGTCCTTCTTTTGCCTTGAAACAAGCTTATCGGAAATCAGTGTACAGCTTCTACAGTTTTTTTTTAGTTTTTTTACATCCACTTTTTTTTAGTAATCACAGTATTGATCTGACAGAAGTCGGTAGCATGCTGCTAATTTTGTTCTGCCGTTTCCAGCCAAAGCCCAGTCCCGGACCACATCAAAGCCCCTCTGGTGATCATGACGGTAACCAGGGCACTATAAAGCACTGCCTGGGGCCCGAAAGCCCAGCTCGATCATCCACCAATGTGCCCCCTCGACCTCCACCTCCTCGACTGCCTGCAAACAAGCTCAGCAGTTTAGGTAACGAGACCAGTCGGGAAGAACATGGCCCATGGGAAGCCCAGGGGGATGCTGGGATATGTAGTCAGTTCGACGAGAGGCTGCAGGTCTCATTTGATGAAGAGGAAGATCATGATGAGGAAGGAGACAGTAAGACAGGCTCTCCCCTTTAAACTTAGTTCAACCCCAGTCACTAAACTGGTCTCCAAACCATCCCATTGTTAGTTTCTTTAGTCAGCCCGTAGTGAGATTACATGTCATTCTTTCCTCTTGCCCTTTCTAAGAGAAATAGCGTCATTGGTGTTGACATGTGAAAATGTCACACACCCACTGGAAGACATCATGAGTCACCCACTCCACCCTTGTATTCTTTTCCTTGTCAAATTATTGTTCTCCTGTCAGTCATTGTTGCAATCATTGTTTTGATTTTCATTACGCTTGTCTAGTTTTTGTTGTGTCTTCTTAGTATGGTAGCTGCAAATTGCAATAGTAGCTTAGTAAACAATGCTGATAATGCTAAACTTCTTATGTGAATGTAGACAAAACGAACACTTTCTTTACACATGTGGCATGTGTGCATCTCTTGTTGGATGCCTATGTAAAAACATAAAGTGTTTAAGATTTATGAAAAAACAAAAAATGTATGCTATATCATTTCTTATCCACAGGCAATGGAATTAGCTCATCTGAACACTTGCCCTTAACAGAGAGACAGTCCACAATGCCCCCTGCTGTTTCTATACCAAAGGACAAGAAAGATTTTCCAGTATGACTTCATTTTAGTGAATTCCAATATTGATTCTTGTAACACTTATGATTCCTGGATGAAGAATGTATGGCATGTTTGCTGAGTGCAACGGGTTTATAATAATTTCATTTTAATACTGTTAGATCCCAGTGGTCTTAATTCACTGTTCACCTTTTAATGCGCATTAGTATATTTAGTGATAAGATCTTTGAATTAATTGAGTTATTATTGTTATTATTATTACATATAATTATATGAGTTGATTTTAATAAATGTATTTAAATAACTTTTATTAAATACATTTTATTATTGAGTTTATTATTAATAATACTATATTCTTGTTATTATTGTGTATTAATTTATGTAAAATACGTTAAAGATTTATTACATAATATTATTTATTACATGACATAATAATAAAAACAATACATATAATTATATTTTAATGCAATATAATTATAGGTAGCAATAATAATAATATTATTAGATTTAATTATATTGCATAATTAATATGTAAAAATTTTTTTTATTTAAATATCTTATTATTATTATTATTATTATTATTAAATAGTGAAAATGGTGAAATTTAATTTGCATTCTTGTATTTTGTTTCAATTTTATGTATATTCATTAGTTTTTTTCCCCCACAGAAACCCATCAGCAATGGTCTCCCTCCAACTCCAAAGGTTCATGTAAGTGGACATCATAGTTTTATTCAGTCATGCAGATCTATGGCACTGTATTGGAACTTAATTACTTGCCATATATTTTTATGTAAATTAATGTATGTTGCCTTTTTGATAGTGTTGTTTGTTTTCTTAAATATAAACCTTTTGAACAGTGGTTCATTTGGCTGCACCTGATTTATCCATTGTGTTGTATTTCCATGTCCAGATGGGAGCATGTTTCTCTAAAGTCTTCAATGGCTGCCCATTAAAGATACACTGCGCTACCTCATGGATCAACCCAGACACACGAGGTGAGTTTGTCATGATAATCTGGCTAATCTGAAATGGTAATACAGTGCACAGCATAAATGAGTACACCCCCTCTGAAACTTAACAAATTCAGCAATTAGTCTTTGCTTAGAGGACATGTTATGGTTTTTTAGAGATATAATATTCCAGCAAGTCTGCTTGATCAGTTACCAAAGAAGAATGTTAAAATTATTCAAGAAAATACCATTTTCTTATCAAAGTGATAAAATGTTGTGTTGCAAAAATGAGTACACCCTCCTGAAAGTTACTAAATAAAACAAACAAAAAAATTCTGGTGTAAGGTTAAGGCAAGTATTGATCAACAGGTAAGTATGTTGAACCAAAACTGCTAAAGGTAAGTAATTTCTTTATAATTAAATGTTATATGGCCCACTGAATCATACTCAGACTTAATGCTGACAACAATGAAACCACTTGAGAGAGAACTGTCAGGAGATTTATTTCTTAGCATAAAAGAGGACAATGGTACAAGAGGAATACCAAATTATCGTTTTAAGTGTGAAAATATAGCCAAAGTAACACAGAAATTCAAAAACAATGGACTTGTGAAAAGGCCCCTGAAATAATCAGGTCTTCACTTTAAGCTTTCATTTAGTGATGAGTGAGTTTTTGCTAGAAAAAGAGCAGGAGAAACACTGTGAAAGTGTCTCAGAGCCGGCAAAAGCTATGAAAAGAGTGACACTTTATCTCACAGAGTAACATGCAGCATGCAGAAGTGACATGCATGGTTGTTTATCCACACCAGAACTACCGACTGTAGCCAAAGCACAATAAACTCATTTAGCTTTTTCCAAGGCCCATATCTACAAAATAGAGACTTCTGGGAATCCATACTCTGGTCTCATGAGACAAATTCAGTAATTTCGGATCTAACAGCATCCAAAATGTTCTAGTGTTGCTAGAGGAGGAGTACAGAGAGAAGTGCCTGGTTCCCACAGTGGCATTCAGTGGTAGTAAAGCTCTTCTATAGGGATGTATGAGAGCTGAAGGTGTGAGGGAGTTGTGCTTTATCAACGCTGTCATGAATTCACACACCACTGTGTGATGTAATACAAAAACCTGAAATTTCCTGCGTTGTTGGGCATTTTTTTAACATGACAATGAAGATAATCATTCTCCTGAGTTGAAAATCCTTCAGTGGACATGTATTTCACTCAATCTTAACACTCTTGAGCTGCTGTGAGAGATTCTGTAGAGACGAGCTGAGCAACACTCCCCATTAAAGACCAGGGCATTTAAGGAGGTCGTCCTCCAGGAGTTAAACAGCACAGATGTGAAAATTTGTCATGAACTTGTACACTCAGTGCCAAGAAGGGTCAGAGCAGTATACTTTAAGTTCTGAAGTACTAGAATATTATACATTTTCTGAATTAAATCTAGGGTGTACTCATTTCTGTTTGTTTTTATTAAGTATATGTTTAATATGTTTAAATTTTGCCATCTTTCCATGAATTATATTA